CAGTTCAATGTATCGTTGTAGAGTATCTCCTGTTGCCTCTACACTTTTACTCCATCTTGTTGGAAATCGGCTCTTGGAGCACTTCCCCTACATCTGTCCCACGATCAACTGTTTCTTCAGCTCATACATTTATGATCGCATTACATGTCCGAAGAAACTTAGCTGACGTTCTATTCGAATTATAATTCTAGATTAATTATAATTAATTACTATTACATATTTTTATGGCTTCTAACAAAATACGATGACAAACTTCCTCTAAAGATTTTCATCATTCTAGTCCCATAAATAATTAAAACGTAGGTAATTAGAAATTTAAAATCCAGGAACTTAATGTAAAATAACAGGATGGATGAACTCTCTGAATTGATCAAAATGATCAAAATGATCAGAATGACCAATTCAAATAGTTTAACCATCCTTTTGGCAACTCAAATGACATTTGAAAAGCTATTTGACAGCTGATTAGGTTAACTTCTACGATGATCAGTGTTTCAGAATCCGGACGTTAATCCTATTTTTTTATGTGAGAAAGTGGCAAACGAGCTGGCGGTTCACCTGATGTTAAGTGTTAAGGGTGATTTTCAACACCCGTAGGGTTGCAAAAGCGTTGGCACCTTTAAATAACGTGGGCCCCGGCTACCTCACTCACCAGACGAAAGGCAGAAGTTGTGACACTATTACTTTATGCCGGTCTTCTGTGAGGTCGTGGTTCTTACCCGGACGGACCTGCCCATTGGTTCAACAGGGAACACTGTTGCATGGTACACCACAGTATTACATTTCCGATTGTCAACTATATCGTATTTGTGTACTGCTACTGCGTGCGTCCCTAAACAGGCCAAAAATTTATATGCTCCATTACGTGCGTCATGTCTGTAATCGTGAAAGAATCGTGCTCCTGGCTGCTCAAAGCCTTAAACATATTAGTATATTCAATTGTATTTTAAAAGATAAAAAAGGAAGCCTAATAAGAACACTCTTTTGTTCGTCAGTCTGTCCGTGTGTCACCACCGAATTTCTCTCAACGGGTGGACCTAATATTATTGAAATTTATACCAGATACTGAGATACACGATAAAAAGATATGGGAAAATTTAAGTACCAAAATTTACATTAATTTTCAACTTCGCAGTACCGGCCTACGGTCTGACTGTAGTTCGTGCACAGTCCGTTTCAACTCGACATGGAGCGAGAACCAATGTGGAACAATAATTATTCCACATTGGGTCTCGCAATCAATTAATATGGATGGACCTGTGTCATTTTAAAGTCACTGGTTTCTTCCCTAAGTCAGATTGTCGGAGGATTTTAATTGGCAGTAGATAAGCAGAAACAAGTACAAGCGCAACCCTACACTCCGAAATCTCTACTTGTGAAAACTCTGGGACGTCGAGTGGACTGAAGTGCAAAGACATTTTGAAGATTTAGTAATGTATATGATATAAATACTAGGAATAAAAATAAATTAATTCTGCCCAAATCTAGATTGCGTAGAATAAGTAAATCTTTAATGTACTGTTTAACAACAAAATCCCAGAAAACGTTCAAAATGAATTAGTTGCTAAATTCAAAAGACTTGTAAAGGAACGTTATCCTAAAGGCTATTATAGCATTAGTGATTATTTAAATGATAACACACTGAAAATGAATTGATCGCTCCAGGATCTTTAAAGTGGAATTTAACATGTTGTTATATTTGTCAAATTATGTTTAAAAAAATTATCCCGCTGAGTTTCTTTCGCCGGTTCTTCTCAAGACAATGAGTTTTTTCCGATAGTTGCGTTTTTTGACAATCAATAAGTAAATACTTCTACATTGAATAAAGATATTTGAATTTGAATTTCAATAAGTGTGCCACCAAGACGGAGGACGATATTGTTATTTGCGATTTTAGGGACCGTCAAATTTTTCTGCGTATTTTTTTTTTATTTAATGCTGTTATGTTTACTAAAGAGTTGAAATGTTTGTATTAATTTTTAAATAGTATAATCAGAGAACAAAATATTTTCCATTACTTACATATTTGTTCCACTATAAAAATTCTTGTTATAATCAAATATGAGCGTCAAAACCAATAGAACTAATTTTCTTATTATTTTATTAGATAGATTATTGCATTTTTAAATTATTTACATGCGACTCGCTTTATAATTGCCTAGTTGACTGTACCAGCGCAAGGCTGCTTCGTAGTTAACTTTACAGACGCCATAAATCTAAGATAAAGTCAAGGCGTATATGATTCTGTTAAACACTTAGATTGTTTATAGATATAGACAAAATTATAACACCCGGGATCGCTAACGCAATGTTTTGGAGAGCACATTTGAAAGCCCAAAAGCTAAAATAATTCGAAGAGAATCTTTTAAATATTACCTTAACAGATTTTCATTGGTGATTTCTAATGGTGAAAAGTATAGTATGCTAGATTCCACACTCCCCAATAACTTACTAATTAGGAGTGATCTATAAAAGTTGACCACTGCTACAGCTGATATGAACGTACAGTTTTCTATCCACCCAAATAATCTCCTGCTATTAGATGACTTTTAATGTTACTGTGCCACTGCAATTCCTACATTTTATAATATCTACTATCGTTAATACATCCTGAAATCATCGAATCCTGAAAAAATCACCTGCGTAAATTGCCTTTGATAAAAATCTAAATTTAACTTTAACAACCTTTATCATAGATATGATCAAAAATCTCATAATCAAAATAATGATTTTACATGCAGTAATGATAATTATGATATAAACATCATCTGCATATAGTAGCTAGTGAACAGGAGTACCTATATAAAGCAATATCTAAAAATTTTAATTCGAATGCAAGCGCAGTTTTGTAAAAAAAATGTCGTTCTTGCAAATTATATTTTGTTCCTGTATCATTGGCACAGCTATGGTAAGAAATATTTTAAGTGAATTTTATTATAATGCAGTAGTCGTAGTTATTAGTACATACCCAAAAGTAGGCATAGAATAAGTAATTCTTTTATGGGACAATGATTATATACGTTTCTATAACAAAATCCCAGAAAACGTTCAAAATGCATATTGATGCATTGCCATTGGGCTAAATTTAAAAAAGTAGATAGTAAAAGAATGTTTGTGGGCTATTATAATATTATATTAATGATTATTTAAATGATAACACACTCTGGTAATGAATTGATCGCTCCAGTCTCTTTCAGTCAGAGTGCTTATATTGTATTTGTAATATATTGATGCTTATTTAAAAGAAAAAATGAAAAAAAAAACCGTTAAGTTTCTTTCGCCGGTTCTTCTTAGTACAGTCTTTCTTTTCAGAACTGATGCGGTGGTAGTATTTTCACTATGAGCGAGTCTAATACTCCTATTTTGAATAAAGATTTTTGATTTTTATTTTGAGTAAATAATATAATAGGATGTTGGAATAATCGAAACTCTGATGGCTTGATAATTAGCCCTTAAAACGAGTTGCAGGAACATAATAACTAGAAAAAGAGATTGTATATGTACTAAAACTCGTATACAATATATTACTTCACATATAATTTCAATACTTGTGTATAATTATCGACTTATAAATTTAACAGAAATATGTCTTGCTTACAGTACGACATGAATTTGTCAAGCAACAGTAAAACAACCTCTGCTCTCATTTATCTAATACTAGCTGTATTAGCAGAGGTTGCCTGCGGCTTCGCTCGCGTTGAGGCCCATGAATAAACATCTTTTTTTTAATAAAAAGGATCATGGCCTTTTTAATACTTAGAATATGTGTACAAAATTTTATGATAATTTTTTGAGTACTTTTGGCGTGAAAGCGTAAAAAATAAACTTATATTAAGTAAAAGTTAACTTGTTTGCGATGATCAGTGTTTCAGAAACCGGGCGTACATATTATAAATGCGAATGTAAGTTTATTTGTTACGCTTTTTAAACAGAAAAAGTGATTTTACATTCATATAGCATCAATGGATAGACTAAGGGGAATAGACTAACAATATATGTTATAATATAACTAAATTATGCGTAATATGTTTGTTACGTTGCTAAAATTGCGTTTTTTCATGTAAGCCCCAAAATCAATTTTCGACAAATTCTAACGGAAGCATTTAGTCACGCCAACGATGAGGTCAAATGTTTATTCATAATTTTAGGCGATATTACATTGTAAACTCTATATAGTCGTATATTTTATGTTGAAAAATATGTGGCGTTGCAAGCCGTATTATCTTCAACACAGATTATAGCAAATATAAATGTTCAGAGTTGTTGAAAGTGAGCTACGTTTTACACGAAGTAGCTCTATTGATGAAGTAAATTTCAAATACGATATTTTCTTAGTTTTTTCATTTTACTTTTCATCTTCCAGTGTTTACCATATTTTGCAATATTCATAGTCACGTAGATCGGACTGAAAGTATACCGAATTAATGTAACTTGAGCAAGTGATCTCATGTATGTCGTGGTCCTATGTCGTACTGGAAAATTATGAGCAAAACTAAAAATAATTCACGATAGATTTCGTAAACAGGTCTGGTTTATGGGCCTATGCGAAAATTTTAGAAATATATTAAACCTACATACAGTATCAATAGATAAAAGGAATCAAACTGTTATGGTACCAAAGCCTGCATACGGTATTCAGGTATTTTTTTTTTAAACTCAAAATTGGCCAGCACTTGACTGCCATCCCACCTGATGGAAAGCGGCGGTGCAGCCGTTCATGGTAAGCGCGCTAGCTCAGTAAAAACCTTGAAGACGCTTACGTTATAATCGGACGGAAAGACGGACGCCAGCACTTTGTTCCATTCCTTAGCTGTACGGGTGATAAATGACGATATACAGCATACAGGACTACAGCACCAATCTAGATAAAACATACCCAACCATCAAACTTACAATTCAAACTAACAAGACGGTAGCAAGTTCAAAATTTTAGTATTAAACATTTTTTTACACAGGCTCGAACCGAAGCGGAGGTAAAGGCATTCTTTATGGAACAAACTATGGAGTGTACTAAAGATCACCCAGTGACAGGGGAGGAAATAAATATGCTCAACAAACATGAAATACCTGACAAAAAGAACGTTAAATGCCTTCTGGCGTGCGTTTACAGAAAAACGACTTGGGTAAGATGTCTCATAAAATTGTATTTCTCGTCCGATTTTAACGGCATTCGACGGGCTGTGATGATTTTTTTTTTATTACATTTTGATTTCAGATGGACGAAAAAGGAATGTTCGTGGTGGAAAACGCGTACAAAATGTCAAAAGAAAAATACCCTGACGATGCAGCTAAGTTAGAAAACTCCAAGAAACTGTACGACATATGCAAAAAAGGTAATATTTTATAGAAACAATAAACTTAATTATTTATTGATCGATTATGTAAACGAATTTTTCATATAATATTCGTCTTTATAGTAAACGAGGAGACTTTTAGCGACGGTGAAGAAGGTTGCGAGAGAGCTGCAAAGCTTACTAAATGCCTAACCGAGAACGCGCCCAAGGTAAGATGTTTTTTTACTAATTTACAATATTTTATTTGAATATTATTGTCTTAACCGTGGACGTCAGACTAAAAGCTAAACTTGAAAACTTAAACTGAGATAATTAACTTTCTTGCATTCAACTAAGATGGCGCCGAATAAGGAATTTGTATGCCTCTTTGCTTTCTGTAGAATGTGTTTAAAAATTTGTCCATATCTCATCAAAACACTGTCATTAAGGCATGCTGTAGTCGCAAGTTCGAGAGGTATCGTATCAAATTGAATTTTAATACACATTTCCGTTTTGTTACAGCTCGGGTTTGTCTTGGAATAGTTATTGTTGGTTTGCTTTGACGCGGAAGATTTAATTTAAAATAAACATGTGATCAATCAATATTTTTGTCTTTATTATTTAACTTTAAAAACAATACATGTGTGCACTTACATGAATCAATAATACAAAATATGTCTAAGTATTTACGGTTACATTGTAAGATCCTTTTAATATGACAAAACGTATTATACGAGATGATCATACAGATACTTCTTATTCATATATAATAAAGTTATAAATAATAATATAAGTTTAAACATGAGGAATACTCTATTTTTGACAAACGATCGAAACTATATTCTTCTTCTTTTTCCTTTATGGCGGTTTTTAGGTTTCACCAGTGTCAACCAAAATATAGGAAAATGACTAAGTGGTTTGGTTATTAAACAGATTCGACATAGCAGAGGTATAAGAGATCATATAAGGGAATTATCTAAAGTGTATGGATTGAGTGATTTTTAAATATAAAAATGTTTTAAAATCGATCAATCCATATTAACACTATTAAAATGTCTGAGCAAAAAACACAGAAAATAATGTATATCAGTGCAAAAACAAAGTGTGTTTGGTATATGCAAATACAATGAAGATTTGAGATTATTAATTAGGCCTTTCTTTTAAAATGAGTAAAAAAGAAATTCTTTCTTTCACAACCAAAATAGCAGAATCCTCGAATATTACAGAATTTGATATTGTATTCTTGACACTAGCCTAAGACAATTTAAATATATATATAATTTAATTAATTTTCTTGAAAATATTCGCCTTACATTATATTTCTTAATGTTAAAATCTTAATACATAATGAAAATATTATATTCATCGCTTTATATTGTACTGAATAACAACAAGCTTAATTAATAAATCCAAAAAATATTGTTTTATGCAGACCATTTTCGATGTTAAATTCTTTTAACCATAACTTTTTTTTTTTTTAATAAAAATATAACCCACCCCTATTCAGAGTAACTTCTGTAAATGTTGTGAATAACGTCTGATGCAGTGGAAAAAATAACAAAAACTTCTTAACTTATTTACCAATGTACTGAAAAAATCATATTAATATCTGCTTAAAATCAACTTAGATTATGCAAGCAATATATTACGTATATTTATTGATTTAAATAAAAAGGAAATAAAAACAAAAAAGTGGAAAAATAAAACTAACACCAAAAAGTTTTACCGCAAAATTTACGACAAAAAATAAATTTATGGTATGCTTATACTTGAGCTGAGCTTCTTTATATTAGTCAAATGTGAGCATGTTAATTTATCTTTTATTTAATTTATCACAATAAACATTGTTGTTGAGATGACGGCTACTGATGAAAAACGACAGAAGAATTTCTCTCTCAAAAGTTAAATAAGTGTAGCACTTTATCTATTGTATTGTATACAAATGAGATATAGATCATTACATTTTAGAAATCAAGAGCCAAAAGAAATTAGATGGAACCATTACTGGTGAAATATTTAATCGTGAAATGGTCAGTAGGGATATTGATAATCAACTCTTCGCTAATATTGTCCTTGCCACATGGCAGGGATGAGGCTAGAATATTCAAGTTTAAAAACATTAACTAAACTTCTTTATGCCAGTTGATATGGGACTAATTGTAAGGATATTATTAATACTGGCTATGAATAGAAAAAAATCAAGGAGCAGGAGAAAGGTCCAACACCTACTCAAAGATGTGAAATATTTAGATTATTTTATTACTTTATATTATATACAGCGTGACTTTACAATCGCGACAATAAATGAGCACACATATAGAGGATAACTTTTTAAAATTGTATTAAACATTTACTTCCTTTAAACATCAATATTTACAGAGTTATTATTTTTTCCAAAACAAAGAATTTTAGAACGACCTTACGTATAAAACTGTTACGTAAAGTTCATTTGTAAAGGTCACATATGAATGGGTTAAATGAAATTAAAAGAGACAAACCATACTGTTAGAAGGAGAGCCTGGTAATGCGACGCTGTGGCAACGAATGAAAAAGTCTCTGGATGTATGAATCAGTCAGTTGTAGTTGTATAGGTGTTCCAAATTTTGTTTCTTTTTTACTTAGTTAGTTTGTTTGAAAAATATTTTTTTAATTATGCATTTTTTAACGTTAATATTTTTTTATGATTATTGGCAAGTAGCGTTAGACTTGTGTTTATTTATTGTCGCGATGGTAACGACACGCTGTACATTTCTTTTTAATTTCAAATTATACATAGATATAGAATGTTATAAAAGAAAATTGGTCCAGAGACACTTGTAAAAAGATATGTATCATATAAATAGTTTTCAAACACTACGTAGTATACAATTTATTTATCAATACAATACTTTATCACAAAGGTTATGAATACTCCCAAAATGAAAATGAGAATATAGTAAACTTGGCACGATTAATTTATAAAAGGTTTTGATAAATTGTATTCCTTATATCATACAGAAATTTTAGGTTATTATAAACATGAATCAAAAGAATATTCGTAATTGTGTATGATCGATCATATAGACAGCTAAATATTAACATAATTTGAAGTAAAATTCATATTAAGTAAAGTAGCTACACAAAATTATTAGAATTATAATATAAAATGTACTTGATGTGAACTAGACTAGGTGATATTACGCATTTGGTTGAAATGAGAATACAATAATTACGATATAAAACCATGCACTCAATCTTAATTATAAACACGACACACTGTTCAATATTTCTATATTTACAAGAGTAGAATTTTGCGAGACTTGCTTAGAAAATAGTGAACAAAATAGCTTATCCAAAGGATTTTTTAAAGGAAATATTTTTATTACAAAAAAATAATTGATTATGCTATTTAAACTATAACTAATGGGACGCCTATAATGTAACCGACTTAATGTAACAGGAAACTAAAAAAACATTGTCAACACTTATAACATTTGAGGATTGCCCTCGATTTGTCTGGGATACCATCATAAGATCTGGGTTTCATTATCATGGTACCACCCTTGAGATATCTACTTACCAACAAAAAGAATCATCAAAATCGGTTCGTAAATGACGAAGTTACCCGCGAACACACATTAAAAAAAAAATATATATATATACGGTCGAATTGAGAAACCTCCTTCTTTTTTGAAGTCGGTTATAAAAATGGATACTTAATACATGCTTTTTTTTTTTAAGTGGAATGCAGCATCGACGATGTTAATGATGATGATGACGACTACACAGACAATGATGCAGAAATTAAAGGAATTGAAGTGCTAGATTTAGGCTTTAAATACAAAATTTATTTTTTATATAACTGTTTTATAAATATCTATTTTGCTCACGTCACCCAACTGCTTTGAATTGACAGCTATGACGAAATAAGATGGCGCGTAATAAGTCGTATTCTTATTTGAATTGCATTTTAGTCTTTTTTAATACACATTATTATAACAACATTTAATTAAACAGTACTGTATGAACACCAGTGCTGATTAAGAAACGCTTTTTAGAAAATGTTCTGTAAGAGCAAAAATACTGTATTATGTATAACTCATGTTTATACCCAAATAAATAAAAATGAAGAGACCGTCTGTAAATATATATAAATTTGAGGTACAAATTTAAGTTTCATTTTACCAAACATGAATATCTTTTATGTCTATCTGTTTGTATATTCAAGAATGAACTGTCATTTGTAGATAGGCAACATTTAAAACACCAAACAAATTGTTACAGCTTTTCAATACTTTACTACAGCAAAGATTGTTTGTTGGAAATTGTGGATTTCAGTAAATTTAATCAAATAAATAATTTATTTGATTAAATTTATATGATATTAAGTATTAAAGTTGGACAGGAAAGTAATAAAAATTCAATGTTAAAACTTATATTGATATATATACATATACTACTCAGTCTCAAGTCGATAATAGCTTGTTATATTATCAGACAATTACAAAATTAGATGTTTGGTAACAAATTTAATATTAGTGCTTTGTTAAAAGGTGTAAACATAAAAACTCCATGTTCTACCAAGAGTACATATAAATAGAAAATTAATAAAGATTTGTTTGAGCACAAAGATGAAATATGATCTTTGTCAACATGTTACCTCCAAAAACATATAAAATTTAGGCCTTAACGAATAATGAATTTTGTATTAACTGGAAGGTGTTATTGAAAGCGGTAAAGCAATTATGTAGGTGTGTATATGTACTTACATAATTTAGATCATGTTATATGATTAATTAAAAAAAATATTTTCAACTTGACATATTTTGAAAAGGTAAATAGAAGTATTAAATAAACAATCAAATGGCAAGAGGGCGAAGAAAAAGAATGAGCACATGGTAGAACTGTTTTAACAATCTATTCGAGAAGAGCTAAATGACCTTCGGAGAGGGTCTCCTCCCTCTGATGTTATATGCTGTCATAACTGTTCGGGTCGGGGGATGTAGCTGGACCGGTGCTTCGCATTGGTAATTTGAATCCATTTATTGCAAACGCCCAACCATCCTGTTAAAATAATAAACCATTACACACAAGAAAATAACAACCCAACTCTTAAAAACATGAAAACTTTTCTAGTGTCAAGAGCAGTGAAGGAAAGCAAACAAACTATTTGTGACAATGTTCATTTTATTATGTAGATATTGCAGTACTAACTTTTATCATTAATATTGATTATCTAATTTTTTTGCTAGTACAATTAGATAATTAAATCAATGATTCCAAAGATGGAAGATCCCACTTCTAACAGGCAATAAAAATTTTCAATGAGTTTTTTTTAATATGAATATATTTACATCTAAATAATCTAAATGTAATCTATAATTTAAATACCTTCTCATGTTAATGTAGGAATTGCTTTGAAATTGAATATGTAAATTACACAGTCCAAATAATCTGAATATAACTGATAACAGATGCCTTGATGAATAATTAATGCCTACTCAAGCAATTCCAACAAGGTTCTCACAATTTAAAACATTAAGAGCATATGGCCTCAAAAAACCTTGTTTCAGTTTAATCAATTAAATCATTAGGTTATTGATAACCTCAATTTCAAAATATTTGATTTTGACACAAATATAGTTTTAAAAACTAAATTGGAATGAATACTTATCAAGTATTTAATATGGACTAAACTTCAATCATGGTTATAAATAAAGTTGTCATTTATACCATAAAATATCAATAATTAGGCAATTTTTTTCAGTGATAATGACAATTTTATAAAAATCTCGCCTTAACATAGAAATCAACCTAAAGATAGCTTAAGGTGATAGTCATACCAGTTCTTATAAGCTTGATTAGCTTGTTTTGTGTTTTTATTAATGTTTTTCAGTACCGTCACTTATACTTCAACCATGGATTGTCTATTGAATAGATTTTTCGGTGTCGACTCTCAGTGTCTATGTGAAATATGTATGGGTGTATTAATATAAATACAGCTTAAAGTTCATACTTAAATTACAAATTTATATCCTAAGGTTTATACCCCTATTTTTATAAAAAATTGTAATGTCAAATGAAATGAACATAGATTCGTAAATTTTCATTTCAATAACATTTCAGACGTTAAATAAAAATAAATGAAAAGTTGTGACAGTCAAGCAATGATTTACAAGACCAATGTAAATGTATGTAAAATTACTGTTTAAACTTATGCATACCAAAATAATATATCATCACTTACTTTGACAAGATTTGGTAGATCTGACCAAAATCCTAAATTTGGTATGACTTCTATTCCCGTTGCACCCATTAGGAATTTTTTTGTACAAATTCCGAGAACGAGATAAAATACTACACAGGAAAAGAAAATTATCAACAATGTTGAACCTAAAGATCGACCAGGTTCTTCAATTTGCTTCAAACAAGCATATCTCGAGTAAAAAGATAAGACCTGAAAAGAAGAATATAACAATATAGTTTAAGTACAAAGATTTTAGGAGTATGGGCAATGATTGTTAGTTTTACAAATCATTTTCTATCTATAATGTTAGTAACATTACAGATATTACTACATTAAAATTTATATTTTGATAAATATGATCAAAATTTATTTGTTCAATAAAGGCTTATACAATGTCAAGCGCCTATAAATGTCAAATCATAACATCAATACCTAAAGAGGCACTGAATTTACTATCTATACTCTATCTCTATTATTTGTCATGCCCTTATCCCACCTTGGTGGGGCTGGGATGACGTGTGAAACATTATGTTAATCTAGATCTAGAGATAAAAACATCTAGATCTGGAACAACTGTCTTTGGGCCACACAAATACTTTTCCCATGTAGGATCCAAACCTTGGCACCAGCACAAAAACTTATAGGTTTGAAACTGCAACACAAATTCATCATGGTATAAGTTAAATAATAGTTATAAAAATAGATTTCTTATATAGCCCAAATTTTATTAAAACAAGAAGTGGAATCAAAGCTTAAATAAGTGATATGGAAATGTGATTGTATATATTTGATGGAAATCAAAAACTTACAACATTATTTGGTTCTGCTGTAGAATTTACTTGTAATTCACCATCAACCTGTGCACAGATGAGTAAAACCTCAGTAGATCTGAAAATGAATAAAAATGTTTAAGTATAGAATACATATTTAGATTCCTTTTGTGATTTATAAGAACATGTATATTTATCCCTTCCATTTTTGCATAAATTTATGATAAATATTTTGCTGCTAGTCTGCTTTATAAAAGATTATTAACATAATCTATTAGAATTATAATTATAACCAGCTGGTTTTGAACAACCATGACAACTAATCACTTATAAAGTATGATGAAATGTATATTTCAATTAATGATATCAATAATTAATAAACTGTTTACATCATGAACCAGTATATAACAAATTTTAAGATATAAAGAGGTTTTGGTATTTGTTATAAGTAAAGACGTTATTTGACGACCCGAATGGTGTAGTGGGTACCCGTAGAGTACCTGCCTCCTGTGCCAAAGGGTGTAGGTTCGATCCCCACTACTAGAAAAATATTGTATGATAAACATAGTGTTTTTCTAGTGTCTGGGTGATTATATATGTATAATATGTATTTATTTACAAAAGAAAAGTATGTTTAAGTATGTTTATCAGTTATCTAATACCCATAGTACTAGTGTTACTTAGTTTGGAACTCGAGAATGTTGTTTAATAATGTGTCCTAAAAAATAAACGCAAATGAAGGTTACACACTGTTTACACATTGTTTAATCCACTTAAAATTTCGCTAAAATAAGTATTTTGGTGTGAAAAATTAAATACTTACGAAGGACCATTGTGGTAGATTATCGAATGGCCATCACTATTGAACTCAGTATTGTTTGAAGTTCCCATAAATTCATAGATCTTGCTATCGATTTTGAAGGTGTCTTCTGTGGTGTTCAATTTATTCATAGTTCTCACATATCGGCACAACTGCAAAAAGACAGAAGTTTTTTTTAAGTAAATTTCTATCATATAAAATAAGCTATATTTATATTTCGGAATAAACTAGTGGACCGACAGACTGTTCTGTACAAACGACATAATCCAACAACTTGTAAATAAAACATTGTAGTTGACTGAATTGTGAATCTAAATCATTCTCAAATCTACATGAAGACACAAAAAAATTCATTAAAATGGGTAAAATTTTGAAACGAGTCGCCTTCGTAGGGGTTCCGGGGGTGGGAGGGGGAAGGAGGGTGATGTGATGAGTCACCCCCTACTTCTGCTTGTTGATTAATTCTGTTTAAAGTTTTTTTATTATTTGCATCTTCGAAGACACTGAAATTTATCAAAATTACGTTCCATTTCACGTTTTGTAAGATTTTTAAATTTTAAAAAATAGCTAATTGAATTTTTTTCGCATCTCTGGCAGCAAAAAATGTGTTAAGAGTGCTTGGTACAAACCTCCTTAACCCCCCCAAACTTACAGTGTACTTGAATTCGGGCAACTCGTTTCAAAACCCAACCCTTAATAATATCTAGAATGAAAAACAAAGAAACGAATACCATACCAATGAAATAAATTTAAAGATAAACCTATTAAATTACATAGATATGGAGACTGTTATTACTGTTATTTTAGCTTTCTAATCTATCCTCGTAAATTCAGAACTGCTCAAATTTTACCATCCAGGTGTACCAAATCCAAGGAAAGAACTACTAAAAGACATGAATACCAGGTACTAGATAAAGCTATCCATGAAATAATTTGACCGGAAAATAAAAAAGATCGATTAAAAACGTTGTGGAAAAAGTGCCTAGGCTCAGAATAAATATAAAATTGTATTGCTGTAGTTATAACAAATGTTAGACGCTATAATTACATTATTAAATACTAGTACTTACAGACAACGAAGTAGTACACGTGTTGTTTACGGCTGGTTCGGTTGTTGTTGGCAGGGCATCAAAACATGGGTGATAGAAGTACATACTAAGAGCATATTGCGCTCCACTATTCTTCACTTCATAAGTTTTAGCTGAATAAAATTTTGTTTTTACAGCCGAAGTTAGGTCAATGCCGGTTCCATTAGAAAATTCACAAACACAAGAACTTTTCTTCACACATACATCTGCACAGGTTGAAATAAATAAAAGGGAAAAGAAAATAAATCGAAATATAAAAACAATGCTAATATGCATTATGTTGAAGTAACTTGCAATTGATATTTGATATCACTATTTTTATTTGACGACAATGATGAACAAAAATGAATGAATCTGAATGACGATTGACGACTTGACGACTCGTCAAAAATCAAATCAAAAAGTGAAAATCCAGTGCTGCCTACAACATTTTTAAAAATCCTAAAATTTTGTTGTACATTTTCCTTTCACTTTTATTCGTCAATAATAGCTAAATTTATAGGTTATTTTTATTTTATTATATTATTATTTTCATAAGCTAATTATGCTAGCGTTCTTTGCACTTGATTGGTGTTTTAGACAAATATAATTTAGTTAATTTAAATATTTGTAATTAAATTATTAAATTTAAAAAAAAATATATAATTTAATTTCTTCATACAATCTCAAGAACTCAATACATTGGGGCATGTTGATTTGACTTCAATAATAAAAAAAATATGTTGGTAAGTACTAATTACTAAGTACTTTATTTACTTTTTAATCTGTATACTGTTTTTGAGTTATAGACCGGATGTTTTTGAGTTATAGTTCGGATATATAAAAGTACTCTTTGTTATAGACTGAGTTTGACTTAGATGAATTATTTCAATTATTATTATTTCATATTTGACTGACTTGGCTTGGCATTCTTGGTAATGGCAGCACAGGCCGCAGCAAGCATAACAATCGTCATTATCTTTTTTATTTATTGATTTTATTTATACTTTACTACATCAATCAAAGCAATAAAAGTGACTATTTTATAGAATATTAAATAATAAATTTAATACAACAAAGTACTGCGTACAGATTCTACAGATAAAAGAATGGCTGATAAAAGAAAAAAGATTTTATTTACAAAAGTACCTAGTATTTTTGAATAAGTTGTAGTTACATTTTTATATCGAACAACTTATATTATATGTATTTACGATTTAAATTATAGGAAACAATTACCACTAGACGTCCAGTGATCCTAAAATCTGACCGTGAAACTACGAAAGATCAAAATAAAGAAAAATTGGAGAAAGAGAAACAACCCACAATTATTTTAAAAACACGAGAACAAAGCACACCCAAAGAAGATAGGCCACAAAGTCCAAAAGCTCAATCTTCTGAGAGTGATGGTTACCATCCTAACAAAATTGCTCAAAATGAAAATAAGGATAAAAAGATTATAGGTTTGTCTCACTTTTATAATCAACAGAGATTAGTCACTTATATTCAGTTTCCAAGATGTTAATTCTAAAACTATTGGGCATATTAATATGAAAAAAGACGAAATTTTGCTTTGCTTTATTATATGGTAGCATGATTTTCGTTACAATTTTAATTTGAATAAGTAGGTAATAAGGCATTGAAGTAAATACTACTACAATGTTCTGCTGATGCTTATACTTTTCGAGAAATTAATTTTACTAAGAATTTTATTACTTAGAAATCATATCACAAATAAGAAAACATATATATAAAACTATGCATTTCTCCCCCTCCCAACCCTCTACCTTCATCACTAAATAGTGTAAAATGAAGTCATCTCACTGTCTCTCTGTCCCTATATATGCTTAGATTTTTAAAACTATGCAATGGATCTTGGTGTGGTTTTTTTCATGGATAGAGTGATACAAAAGGAAGGTTCATATGTATAATATATATACATTGCACCCGGGTCGCTAGTTAAATATAACTATGATTAAGCTGAATGATGCCTTTGAACAATGAAAGAAAAACCTTGTTATAGATAGCCTATCTATAAATTTATTACTTCCATTGTTCTACCATTACAAGAGTTGTGGAAGATTTAGTTGTGAATTTTTACTTATTTAAGATTTAGTTATCAATTTCACTATTGATGAATTGATGAATTGGAGTCTGTCTTATTTATGCTGTTGAAATCATATATTAAGTAATACTAGATTTGCATGGATAGCACTAAACTTGCTAATACTCAATTAATATTGGACTATTTCCTCAACAATACAATTTAACAAGAGGGTAAACCTTTAAAAGATATATATTATCAGAAATAATTGAACATACCATTTGACGTAAATACATTTACGGTGGTGGCATTTACATACAAAAAATAATACTGAACAGAATTTTTTTCTATTTTCTAAAAGATGTATGTATGTTATGTGTAAAATAACAAATTAAAACTCCACAGAACCAAAACCAATTCCTAGCCTGAAACTTATGACAAAACCTGTGAAATTACTAGATGAAAATTTAGACTTCAACCAATCTGCTTTGAAGTTCCTTCAAGATTGTAACACCAATTATCTAGTCATTGGGATAATGGGTTGGTATTAAAAATGATATGTAAATTATATTAAGGTTTCACAAGTAATAGTATTGTAACATTACATGCCAAATAATAAATCAACTTGTATTAATTGGTTAAGTACTAGAAATAAATATTTTTTCGGTTTTGTTAATTGCTTTTGGTCTGTTTGATTCTGATCATACCACAATATTCATTTTCATAACATAAAAATAAAAAAAATCATGAAACTTTTTAAAATAAATTACAGGTATGCAAGGAGTAGGGAAATCAATGATAATGAATTTAATTTATCAAAACACTGTAACTTCAGACCTTTGCTCGCAAATATTGCATTCTCATGAGATACCCAGTGATACTTTGGAAACGAATGATGTTGACAGTATTGAAACTAAAATAGAGAGTTTGACCTTCACTAACATTGATGCAAATGATCCACAGAGTAATAATAATTTTTTCAAATTTAAAATGCAAGATATGGAACATATAGAAAGGGGAGTTCACTGCACTAAAGGTAATGATTAAAAACTTTTTGTTTATTATACATATTAAATTAATACATTTGTTTTAAAAGTTTCTATTTCAGTACTCTATGAGTGTCTTTCTAACATATCCCACTTTTACAAGAAACATGGTAATACATTATATTCTAAATTAGCAATTATTGCAAACAAGTCTATAAGGCATAATTACTTATTACCCTTATCTTTTTAAATAGACAACCAGTAGTATATTGTACCATAATAATTATTAAATTATAGATATCAATGTAAAACTACTTTGAAGATTTTCATTCCATTCCTCAATATCTATGGCTTCTGACAAATATTTGCTTAACTCATTCATTCCCAGAGGCTTCTATTAATTTTTTTTCATTTTCATGTGTTACACTGACTGCTGATGATTACCATAGACTCAGTACACATATTTCTACCGCCTTAAATTCAGCGGACGATTTGAAGTTATTGGAACCAAAAAAAAATTAAACTAAACCCTAATCAAATATGTATGTTATTTCCAGGTATAGATATGTATGTTACGAACGACCGCGTTATTCTCTTGGATTGCCAACCTCTTTGGTCCCCTTCACTAATTGACGAGTCCAACAGCATATCAATGAATCCAAGATGTGCAAACATTATGACCGTTGATTGTCTGGAGATTGCCTCTTTCTTGATGTCAATCTGCCATGTACTGATTGCTGTACAGGATTGGTTTGCGGATTATAATTTCATAAGGTACTCTTTTATTTTCCAATTTTGAGTTTACCTCATTAATTATAACTCTTTTCTCTGTATTCATCCATTTCCTTGCATTTTGTTAACCTGATACCCTGTCTTTGTTGGAGAAAGTTTTCGTTTTCATTATCATGAGCCATTTAGAGCTTATAGTTTCTATGGCCTTATAACCTAATGTTTATATACAAATTACAGCCTATATTTCATATGTCCCATTTCTGAGCGAAGGTATCCTTTATACACAGTGTATTAGTGTATACGCGACCCACTGTGCATTAGCGGACTTCAACATATTTAAAAATATATATTTCATTTGCTTTGTATGATATGAAGGTTTCTTTAACACGTTCCGATGTGATAAATCGGCCATCATACTAGCAATTTACAATTTAGTTTCGGGGTTTGAACTCGCGTTGCTCGAATGTGCCATACTAAAAGCGAGCGCTCGGACGCTGGAGTTGTCACGACTTTATGTCATAGCTATGAATTTTATGTTTGCTATTGCACCTATGAGGTAGATACTACACTAGCGTACCGAAACTGAATCACTCAAATCACGCCAATTGGTGCAATTGGATTGCAATTCTGTAGACTTGCTGCCTCTTTCCGTAACATACGTTCAATATCATCTAATAATGTGATATAATGTAAAGCGGAACAAATTTTTAAACGACACGAGTCATCCATATTATTGAGCATAATTTTATTGCAGGTACATACAAACGGCGGAGATGCTCAAGCCGACTCTGTCCGCATCGAGCACGGTGCCCGCTGCCTCCGAGGGTACGGAGTCGACGAATGACGGGGAATCCCACCCGCACTTGCTGTTGCTGCAGAACAGGTGCCAATTGGAGGACTTCACGCCGGAGTCCGTCAAGGCTATGCAAGACCTCTACAGGTGATTCGTGTTTTTACAAAAAAAAGCTTTTATGCCAGTTGGAAGACCGGAATCCGGTTAAGGTTACGAAGGGCCTCTACAGGTGATTTGTAGCCTTAAAAAAAGGCTTGTATGCTATTACGCCAGAGACCGCTTAAGGCTATGCAAGATCTCTACCTGATTTCTAAACCTTTTGAAATAAATAAAGGCTTATTCTAGTTGGAAGACTTCACGCTAACGTTCCCTTCGGGCTATGCATTATTTTAGTTATAATTCCTGTAGAAACGTAGCGGTATTCTACATTTACGGATAGGTAACTCGCCTTTAATTCAATATACTCGAGCAACCTGAGTTCGATCCCCGGTGCCGTCACCAATGAAGTTATTAACTTTAAGTGCAGACTTATCACGTGCTCCGCGGTGAAGGAAAACATCGTGAGGAAACCTGCCTATTTTCGAAATAATAACAAAAAATATATATTTCGAAGATATGTGAAGTCCGCCAATCGCAGTGGGGCCGCGTGGTGGACTACGCCCTGATACCCTCTGTATAGAGGAGGCCTTTGCCCAGCAGTGGGACATGTATAGGCTATTACTTTACTTTACTTTATATATTAGCTGTTACTCATTAAATTTTTAAAATAATTCGCGGTGGTAGGGCCACGCAACAGTGTTCTCTGTTGCACCAATGGGCACCCGCGTTCCAGGGCGGTTCTCACCGCCCCCAGCCACCGACTAACCAAGCACAGTCAACGGCCATCGGGGTCACGGTCCGCACCGAACCTCGATGGCCCGTAGGCGACATGCCATAATTGACGCACGCATGGGTATATGCGCGGCCCCACCCACTGAGGAGGGCATCAAACCCGTGGGTTCTGGCTAGCCCACCGGTTCTGCGTTCGATGAAGTTTTAATAGTCTAAAGACTGAAAGCGTAACATCAGTAATACAAATACAATACGAATGGGCAGGTCCGCCCGGGTAAGTACCACGACCTCACAGAAGACCGGCGTGAATAGATCAACTGTGTCACAGGGGCTATTAAGTTTCAAGTTAAGTTAATATTAAGTTTAAGTTTATTTATTAACATATTTCACAGAAAGTCCTTTCAGCGGTCCAACCTGCAACTGAACTCCGGCATGTACATGTACAGCGACACAAACAGGAACGGCGCCCACGTGGACCAAGTGTGCAAGGGGTACAGTGTCGACACGTGTGGGCCCCCCATCAATCTGTTCCTTCTGCCCGACATATATAGCGATTATGGTGAGACATCTAATTCGACTTTGGCGTTATGTGTGCTTTAATTGATTCTTAAGATAGAGATTTCTTAGATATAATTTCTTACGGTGGTAGGGCCACACAGCAGCCTCGGCTGTTGCACGAATGGGCAGGCCCATCCGAGTAAGTACCACGACCCCACAGAAGACCAGCGTAAAGTGGAAGTATGACAACTACTTTCGCCTTTCGTCTGGTGATTGAGGTAGCCGGAGCCCAATTTCCAAAAAGTTGTCAACGCATCTGTAACCCCCGGGTGTAGCAGATGTCCATGGGCGGCGGTATTCACTTACCATCAGTTGAACCGTCTGCTAGTTTTTCAACTTTTCACATAAAAAAATACATTGAACTAAAAACTTTAAATTTACGGTATCTCAGAAACGGTTCAAACTATTTGGTATAATCTTTGTATTTAGATCAGTTTTTGCCTTTTAAATTTATCTCTATAGGCTTCTCTCACGTAAAAACGCAAAAAAAAATGTACTAATCGATAACCATTTCTAATAGCGCCATCTCGTAAAATATTAAAAATGTATGTAATATTGGAATGAAATTTGTTTCAAGAATTGTAATGTAGTCGAGTATTTTGAGTTCTATCTGTATTATATGGTACGGTTAAATAAATAATATGATATGGAAAATTCCTAAATTCCATATAACATATATAATAATATTGCAATATTATATATATAATATGTATTATATTATATATATTATAGAAAGAAATAAAGAAAGAAAGAAAATACATTTATTTAGCAAAAAATAAAAGAAATAAATAAAATATACTTATAAATAATACAGTAAAGCAAAAGAACATAAATAAAAAATTAAAATATAAAACAAATGAAAAATAACTTTAACAAACAAAAAAAAAATATTGTACGTCCTATTCCGATAAATTAGGTCAGCAGCTCAGCATTATGCTGTGCCGGAAGTCAAGGCCCCCAACTGATTTTCAGTGCTAACCTTCACGCTTCATAATACTTCGATGCCTCACTGACCCATACACAGCGAAGTAATACTAATAACAATTATTATGTAACCTATTAGAATTAATTATATACCAAAATAAAGTCTTTACAATATCAACAATTGTTGACTATCACGATTGAGAGGCAAATTATTTGTCACATTAACAATATGGCGGATAATCTCTCCTCCATGCACTCCGTCTAAAAGAAAATTACATGATTACTAGCGATCCGCACCGGCTTCGCACGGGTGCAATGTATGTATTACACATATAAACCTTCCTTTTGAACCACTCGTATCTAGTAAAAAAAAACCACATCTAGATCCGTTGCGAATTTTTAAAGATCTAAGTATACATAGGGACAGAGAGACAGCGGGACGATTTTGTCTTATACTATGTAGTGATAAAAGAGAGCGAATATTGGGCGCGAATTCCCTACACAGGTCTAAATTTGCGAATTGCATGTATGACGTTCACTTGAAACAATCGCAAATTGAAAAACATTTTGACTGAACAAATTACTTTGCAGACAACAAGGACATATATCGGGGCCATCCGCCATTCGAACAGTTGGCTGGGAGACTGCGCTGGCTGGTCTTGGGCGCCAATAGACACCAGATCACGAACGTGCCCAACCTGTCGGAGAAGGGCTGGTTCCAGTACTGCAGCAAGGCCTGGGAGACCATAAGGAAATGCACATTCTTCATAGAGTACGAAAGGCTGTTGCCGTGATACTTGCCATTTAGCCGCTAGATTAGCGCGTGTTGGCGTCATCGAACAGATAAGGCGCAGGTGTTGAAAAGCACGCCGGTCGAAAGTTCGAAGAATATTTCATTACAGATATAATAAGAAACGCACCGTCAACGCAATGCGTCTCTTTGTGAAAGTGAAACAAACGCGCTGGCGGAAAGTTCGAAGAATTTTTATTAAGGATACAACAAGAAACACATCTTCAATGTAATTAGGCGTTGGACCCAAGAAAGCTATTAAAAATTACACGAAACTGTGATTTTTCATTTCGATATCGATCTACATATTTGGTGTTTACAATGTTTTTTGCTAGATTATCAAATTCACTCCGAATTATATCTAACAATTTATCGCCTTTTGGTATTTTGCAATTTTTTAATTTCAATAAATAATATACAATATAAAATGTAAAATGTAAAACGTCGCACAATGATATTCATTAAATCCATATTCTAAACCGACAAAACATTTTCATTGTCGGTATCACTATTATAAACTTAAAATAGTATATTAAAAAAAAATCGTGAAATGTATATATTATCACAAAATAAGACCAAAAATATACTGTTTAAAAACAATGATCTAGTTCCTATTAAACAAAATAAATTTAAATTGGACAAGACGCACAATACATAAAAAATGATCGGAAAAATTCAAACCTCCTCCTATTTTTGAACTCGGTTAAGGTAAAAATCAAAAGCAACGTGAAAACTAAAAATGTAAAATCCTCATTCCATTCGAAAATCAGGGACAGCGCTCTTTTAGCGTGTAGTCTAGCAACATTTCATTGGTAGACGCTGTCGATGAGGGGCTTACGTCGTTGCTCGGGCGGTTTGTAGGCGTGCTGATAGACGCTTGCCAGACGCCAGTGTTCCGGGTAGCCCGTAGCGTTCGCATCCCGCCATATGCTGAACGGCGGCGCCAGCGTGGGGATGGTGTACGACTTCTTGGTGTAAGGGTGCCGCATTTTGGGCATTTTCACCGCCTTCGAATCGCCCGAGCTCACGCTCTGCACGGAGTTCGGGTTGCCCGCTTTGAAAGCGAACTTATAGTCCTCCCGCGGCTTCGGAGCGCTCGCGGCCTTGGCACCGTTGCAGGACACGCAATGCTTGTGCTTTACGCTGCTCAAGCCCTTACAGTGTTTCGTGATCGACTCGTTGGGCGAACTTTGGCGCAGTTTGCCTTGGGCCAGTGGGGTCTGCTCGTACGACTCCAAGCTGTTCCTGTTCCGATTTATATCGAGATTCTTCTCTGCACTCGGGGTCCAGGCGTCTTTCACCGCTTGCAGCTTGTCGGGTCTTCTCGCGTTAGTACTCCCGCCTGCGCTGCTTGGCGTGCCGCATCCATGTATACCGTCACATTTTGCGCTTTTGCCAGAATCGGCAGAACTCTTTCTGCTCGACGACCTGCTTTTCGTGTTTCCATTGTGCTGAGGACAGTGTTGGACTTCGCAGGAACCCTTGCGCTTTTCCTTCGTCGTATCTTTCTCAAAGTACGGGACGGGATGACGTCCGGTGTCTTCCGCGATGCGATTCTGGTTGAATATGGGGAAGGGGTGACTGATCGTCTTTTGTGGTTCCTCCTTCGGGGTATGAACCATTGTGAAGACGGCCGGCGCTTTGGAGCCGTTGGATCCATCTATATGCTTTGGTGGGGTCGGCTCTAATTTGGGGTCATTGGGTCTGAAATCCCAGCATATGGCGAGGTCCATTAGGGACATCGGCTTCTTGTACTGCCCGCCCAAATCCGGGGCGGACGTCGACGGGCGCTGTTTGCGGTCTTCCGCTTCCTCAGCTTTCTTCGGATCGCAGGTCTTCGGTCTGTGGACGCGCATTTTGGTGCAGCAGGTAGGCCCCGACGCCCCGTAGCCTTTCCATCCTATCGCGTAGGGCTTAACCACTATATCGGAGTCGCGGTGCTCGCCCACTTTCGTCAGGTTGCGATAACCCAACGTGTCGGGCAGCGGCTGGTGCTCCAAGTTGCCGACGTGCATTCTCTTCGCGAAGTGGAAATTCTGCGACACGTTCACGTACGGCAGCTTCGGGGTTTCGCTCCGTTTCGCGAATTTCATGGTCCCGTCGGCTCGCACATCTTGCTTCGCATTTTCCGCTACTCTGCTCCAGAAATTGTCGGCTCTATCCCCCTGCGGTCCGTGTACTTGCTCGACGGCGTCCTTGAGTAGTAGATCATAACTTTCGTGTCTATGCTCTGGATCGGTTAACGAGCCTGGTACGTACGGTCCGTGCCCATCCTCATCAATGGGTTCCTTATTTTTATCGATATCTAGCCCTAAAGGGTCATTTTCTTCCACGCCATTCAAACCGATATCACGAACAAACGTCTCCTCATTTACATTCGCGCCATTAGAATCTTTTGTTTCTACAAAATCCTGATCCTCCTTTTTGTTCAGACATGTAAAATTTATTGAAAATTTATATTTTAAATATAAAATTAAAATTTATTTTATAGTTTTATAGTTAACTTATCAAAAAATGTTAACAATGGTAAAAATCTATAATACATATATCTACGATTGAAATAAATAGAAAATAATCATAAATTTAACTACAGTCAAATTTACTATTTTTTGTTCGACAAATTAAATCTTATTTTTTTTCTTCTTGCGTATTCTTATGAATTGGACACTGCAGGGGCTGAAATTAAAACGAAATAACTTCATTAATTAAATATGAGCTTCGCAACTTATTAATTCAACTTTTGCCTATATTTTATATTACTGTAGATACTGATGAAATACCCAACACGTAATTCAAGATTTGTAAAAAGTCAACTTGCTTTTTTGTTATGAATTTCATGTCATGTAAACAAAGACGAAAACAATTACCCACCTAAATAAAATACTTTAAAAATTCAATTTTTATGCTTTTTAATCATCAAAACTATTTCTAGTTTCCAAAAATAGTTTCGTCAAAATCCTATCTCCACTAACCAGTTCTACAGATAGAATATTGAAACCGGCCGTAAGGAACTGACTGAAATAAATTCTTTTAAGTGTAGAACTGAACAAGTTCCGTGTTTAAAAGTAAATAACGAGAATAGATGATTTTTTTTTTTAATTTTACTAATGCAAATAATTTTCCTATATTCATAGTTGTTGTTTTTGTTATTTTAATACAATACTAAGCTCTCACGCCTCTCCTTAAAGGAATGGAAAAAGTGGCTACATAAGTTGTTACATAAATGAATTGTACTTTTAACATTAAGAAGAGAAGACATGGAATCCTAAAGTAAGCCCAAACCGATATCAACTGAAAAAAGAAACTGAACAAAATAGACTATTCGTTCATGGTATTGACATTTTATCATCTATTTTTAATCATTCTCTTTTTATATTATTTCAGTTCCCTTTAAAGTAACAACTTAGTGGATTAGTCATATCACTACACTCATGAAATTAATCTATATAATACCTTTAAAGTGGTTCTGTCTACTAGAGAGTTATCTAAATATCGTGCAGGTGTCTTATCTGTTCGTTAGTTATTTTATCGATTTTAATACCTAATAGTCACCACAATGTTGCCGATAATTATTCAATCTCCAAAAAATTGTTTCTATGCACTTCCACAAGGTTATACTGCTTTACTTTGGAATATAAATACAAAAATATAAAGTAAAGGAACAGCCTATACGTGTCCCATTGTTGGGCAAAGACCTCTGTACAGAGGGTATCAGGACATAGTCTACCTCGCGGCCCCACTGGACATTTGCGGACTTCACGTATCTTCGAAATATTTTTTAAATTATTTCGACATTGTACAGGATTCCTCACGATGTTTTCTTTCACCGCTGAGCAAGTGATAAGTCAGCATTTAAATTAACAATTTCATTTGTGCCGGCACCAGGGATTGAACTCAGGTTGCTCGAGTATATTGAGGTGAGCGCTCGGACACAGCTATCACGGCTCTGTACGTCTTAGGATAAGAAGCGCTAAATAATTAAATAATAAATTATTATATTTTCATAGAAACACTATGAAAACTGAAGTTTATTGGTATAAAACTTTTTCTTGCATTAACATTACAGTAGGAAAAAATAATGCACATAAATTGAACACAACACAATTAAACTGTCTACTTACTTTTTTTTAATATAAGCAGTGTAAATTTGATTGCATGTCTGCGGAGGTAAACAAAACTATGTCGAAAACTTGTCGTAGTGTGACTCGAGCAACTTACTTTGAACGTTTGTGGGCTGGAAGCGTTTTCGGAATCCGCTTTGGTGGATTTGCCGCGCTTCCCCGAACGCATGCGCGCCGAACCGCTTTCCGCTGCGACCTTGGGCCTTTGTATCCTAGGATGCAGCCAGTCGGAGAATCGGCTGTCCGGCGGCTCCTTAGCCAACTCCTCCGCTGCGTGAAAACATTACCCATTTTCAAATCCCACACCGTTTCCTTTCGCAAAAGAAAGCATAACAGACCGCAAGGAAACGCATAACGATACGACCGCCTGGAATCGATCAAAACAATTGCACGTAGGCAAAGCGTATACAGTGAATGCACGATTAGGTCAGGTCACGTATAGGCATGAATTCGCCACGCATGCAAAAACGCTGGAAACGCGAAAAGCGACGAATTCAACGGGACGAAACGACCGCGTGACACGGAAGGGGAAAAGTTTGCATGCGAACAAATCAAGCAACATCAAGCTGACCTTTATCAGCTTTATGTTTAGGGACAATCGATAATGTTATGTTGTGAATTTATTTTAACACACACAATGGAGTGGTTGAGTAATGAGACAAGATAACGAAAACCTTGAACATAGAAAATAGTAATATATAATATGTAAATTGTAAACCAATGAATTCACATAACGCTTTTAATATAATTGCCTCTCTCGTTCTCATTCAGACTCAATTTTGTCATATTCGTTCGAATCGTTAAATCGTTGCCTTTCAACAAATGCTCCATAAGTCTTTTAACTTATAACATAAGATTAGTTTTATTTAGATGTATGATTTTATTTGAGAAAGTAGATGACTTTCATATTTAGTCTTAGAGTACTGCAGCATTATCTAGCTATCGTTTTATTAATGGTAACTAGCGACGTAATTTTTATTTTAAACAGAGCAATAAATTCGCACGTATGTATGTACGTAGTATATTTATTGATTGTCGAAGAAATCAACACATTTTTCGGACCGAAAAATGTGTTGATTCTAAAACTATGCAATTTTCGTTCGTTCAGTAAGTTAATTTAAAAAGTTAAATGAATTATATTATATGAGTCCATAAAAACGACCACCACAAGTCCGGTGGATCTGTAAAGGCCTCCCTAGACCAACAGTGGTAGATGCAGCCAAAAAAAAGCGTTCGTCAACTTGTGAACGAGACAATGGCATTAAACAATATTTCATTCATACGATTTACTATTTACTTTTGTATTCGAAAATTACGTACCGACTTTTCTAGTAATCTTTCTTGGCAATTCCCAGGTCCCGGTGTAGTGGCCGAAGCATTTCGACGACCCTTTCGGTGCACCCGGCAGAAAGCGACCGTTGATGTCACAAATCGGCTTTGGTGTTGGTCGCATTTCCACAGGGCGTGGGCGTGTTGGCGCCCAACGCGGGACCTCCCAATTGCCTAATCTTTTCGGCATTGACTCCTTATTAAACTGCCAATCACACATTTTTATTTTCATTCGGCCTTTACATTTAATTTTTAATTTTATTAAGAACAATATTATCACTTACAACGTTAAATCTAAATTACATATTACTTAGTATCTAATAAACCTAGACCACGCCGAATGGGTTGCATTTTCTCGCTGAAAAGTTATGCTTAACTTTTGAGTGAGAAAAGAGCCAGCCCTCCAGCCAGCCTCACCAGCTGCTAAGTAAAAGTTGCTTTTCAAAAAAAATATTTTGAGGGGGCCCGACGGACCCGCAGCTTCAAAAGCAAATGGCACAAATACGTAACCTGAACAAGGACTCATGTTTTTTTTTTCTCTTTATTTTATTTAGGGACTTTTATACAAATATGCATATGTCAGTCACATTGAACCTTATTAGTCCTAATACGTCCTCCGATGCCGTCCAGGCCCTTATTTATATTGCATTACGGATATTTTGAAATCTATTTTTTTTGCAAGAATAATAATAATATAATAATAATAAATATTTATTTCTCACTAAAACTAGTAGCTTTAAATAATATTATAAGTATATAATGTTTACAATTTTCGTTCCATATTAGAGGATATATTCATTATTAGTTGTGGATCGCTTGCAGTATGTATTGAAAAACCCGTAAATTCAGGACACCAGTTCACCACCCCACATCACTAATAGGAAAAGTAACAAAGGTATCAAATACTAAAATATAAAATGGTAGGTATATATTAATTAAAGTATGTAGTGTGTGTGGGATTGAGAGAGACAGAGGGTGTATTTATTGTGCGTGGGTGTGTGTGAGATCATTTAAAATAATCAATATTACGGTCTAAATGTGACATCCATTGTAATGAAAAAAAAAACCAATACCTGCAAACAAAGAAAACAAAAAGCGCGACACGTGGCCTGGCGAAAGGCACGCGTCTAAGTCGGGCAAAAGACAAGTTGTAATTATACGTACTCTAATAATACTACTATAAATAAAATATGTGTCGAAACAACTAACGTTTTAAAAATTTAAATGACATATAACATATATATATGAAATACGTAATGCATTAACTTAGAAACATGTTTTTGTGCAAACTTTAGGGAAAGCCTATATTCAGCGTTGGACTTGTAATAGGTTTCTCTGCGATTTCTACTTTTGAGTACTGTTTTATACTTTTGAATCATAATAAATTGTAAACCTGTGTGTAAGGACGTTTTACAAACATAAATTTCACGCGGACAAACACCCAGATACGAAACAACTATCTGTGGGTCAAACAAATAGTTGTCCCGTGTGGGAATCGAACCCACGACCCCCGGCGCCGAAGACAATACCTTGGCAACTGCGCCACGGAGGCATCAAAACCCAACGTTACCCACTATAAAAGAGTATTAATTTTCTTAAAAACATAGTTTGACATGTCCAATCAAAAACTGATTTAAACTTGTGTTTAACGGCATATCGCAAAGTATTCTTCATGTAACATCAATTTTAAACAAGAGGACAACCCTACAAAAGATATTAATAAATAACAATGGCTCTAAAAGTCTATTGAGCAGGTGTCAAACCCTCCGTTATCCCATTGTAGCAATCATCCCTTTCCCGACGAAGGGTTGCAAATTATTATTTACTCCATATATCACTCGTCCATTACTTCATATTTAAATGACCGTAATAATTTAGAATTATATTGTCAAAGTTATTACTTTTTAGGAAATGAATTTTGTCGAATTGTTTTTTTTTTTTTTGAGAAAAATATCGTAGTTATTGATGTAAACTTATTGATTACATGCTTTTCTCAATGCATAGTTGAATCTAAATGCATACGATGTTGTTTTTAGGTATTAACATAAATAAGAATTCATGTGCATTTAAAAGGTTATTTCTGAGAATATACATTAGGTTACTGGAGCTTGCGATCCGCAACACATATAACAACAACCCTTGACCTTAGATTCAGATAGATTAGCTGCGATGTCCCCTTAAAACGCTAATTTCAGTTTTTACCAATAATATTCATATGCCTCTTTTGCCTTGAAAAAAAATGAAATGTACAAAATCGGACTAAAACCCATCAGCATAGATGTTCCAGAGAAGTTATAGTTACATTGGTTATAAAATTAAAATAAAGCAGTTATAAAATCTAGATCAACTTGTATACTATATCCATAGCATATGCTAAAATAAATGAAAAAACATGACTTTAGGTAAATGCGAATCGACTCTCGAGGGAAGATTTTCCTCATGAACAGTATAAAGATTGAAAGCGAGAAGATAAGTAATACGGAGTACAAAGAGAGGCTAGCCTCTATTAGTGCTAAGACTAAATTTGTGATATCTGTTGTGATATGTGATGTAAGTTGTTCTATCGGAAAGACAATATGTCATACTTAGGAAGTTTGAAAATGAATCGATAGCATGCAGTTATTCAAAACTCGATCGGGTTTATTGAGGTGATCAGAATTCAGGTCCATCTTTCTTTTACAGTCAATCCTGGGTAAGTGAGAACTGGATAAGTGAGAAAACTCTATAAGTGAGAGTAATAGCCAGGACCCATCATTTTAAGCTCCCAAAACCTCTATTAGCGAGAAACAGAAACCTCTGTAAGAGAGAGTCGTTTTTCCCTCATGGACCTCCGTAAGTGAGACTGCTACTTATCTATACCTCTATAAGCGACAGTCGAGCTTTATTTATTTATATTATTTAGGAGGAACTATAGTTACAATAAAAAAAAAGATACGCACATACAGTAACAAATGACAAAACAAATTACAAATTTAACATCTGCTATTTTATGACTCATTCTTAACTTTCGTGGAACTTCCTACTATTGTTTTCTCGTCAATATTGTACCTATTCTATTTCGTGGAACTAAATAACGTTGTTATTTTATCGCATTCTTTTCGACTGTTTGTCGGACTTACTCAGTCTATAGTCAATCAATTGCGAAGGAAAGTTCTGTTCTGCATCATGTCAAAACGGAAAATTAAAGTACTGTCATTAAGTGATAAACTTACAATAGTGAATGCGTTTGAATCCGGAAAATCGCGAAATGAAATTCAGAGGGAGTTTAATTTACCAGAATCCACCTATTATAAAATTGTAAAATCAAAAGACTATAAAGTCTGAGTGCTCTGATGGACATGGAAATATTAAGAGGACTAGAGTTCCTGAATTTCTCAATATCGAAAAGTGCCTTTTGGAATGGATAAAACAAACTCTCGATAAGAACATTCCCATAGATGGACCTTTGTTGAAAGAAAAATCAAAAGAGTTTGCTACAAAACTGAGAATCCAGAACTTTTCTGCTAGCAACGGCTGGTTAGAGGGTTTTAAAAGGCGTCATGATATAGCTTTCAAAAAAGCAGCTGGGGAAAGTAAATCTGTGGACCAAGGTGATTTTTTTAAGTGTAAATAAGTTCTAAATAAATTAAAATTACATAGTGCATGAATTTTTGTTTTGTTTTCGTAAGCATCTTGATACCTACCCTTATAAGGTACTTATATGTCGAAATCTAACATATGTTGTGCATATTATGCACATAATTTTATCATATCACATATGTATTTACTACATTTGTACTTGCTGTGACTTGTTATTGCTGCGTACCTCTATAAGAGAGAAATGCTACCCATGTACCTGCATTAGCGAGAAACTCGGGTTAGTGAGAAACCTTTATAAGCGAGAATGAGATTGTGCTCCCTTGAACTCTCGCTTATCCAGGTTTGACTGTAGTTTATAAAACTAAAGTAAATATATATCTATTAGAATTTTAAAACTGTTCATCCGCTTTTACATAATAAAAATATAAAAACATAAAAAATACCACAATGTTATTAAAAGTTTTCCGAATATTCTGTTTTACAATATTATCCCTTCTTGTTTTATATTTTAAGCTTAAAATCTAATATGAAGTCAAGTAAACTTTGGACGGCCTCATTGGGAAAAAAACCCGCACAGACAAAGTGACGACCATGGTAAATACTAATATAACGATAGTATAAGAAGATCATGATTATGTATAAAAAAACATTACTCGTTTATTTAATGCAGAACGACGCGAGACGTACCTATTGACTGGAGTTGTGGCTGCTTAAAGCCTTAAAGAGAAACGCAGTAACATAAAATCAAAAATTCTGCGACTTTATCATTGCGTGTCTGAAAATGGCTTACGACATGACACGTAATTTGCATTTTATGTTAGAATAAAATTTTACGAACATTTCATTTATGAACAGAACAACATTAAGTTGCATAACAGAAAATACGAAGTATACTTTAACATTTATCAAATGGAAAGAAATGACTCACTAGAGAAGGAATTTTGAAGCTTCCTGCCTCAGGACTCATTTCATTACTTTTATTATATAAACAGTATTACTGTTGTTTAAATGCTTATGAACTGGCGAAAATGAATACATTTTAATATTTATTTCAAGAAGACAAGGGTGCGTTTTTAAGTTCCCAGGATAGGTTGAAGATCTCATCCATCTTATCTCTTTTAGCTAGTAACGTGTTCAACGACTCCATATGTATATATGAAGTTGTATTATAACTGTTATAAGTTTTTGAATTATTGTCGACAAAACTTGAAAATTGATGACTTCGGTTTTGGCGTCGGGGGTCGTGTGTTCGATTCTCACACGGGACAACTATTTGTGTAACCCACAACTAGTTGTTTCGCATCTGGGTGTTTGTCCGCGGGAAATTTATGTTTGTAAACCGTCCTTACAACACATGATAATGTTATCCTAAAGTAAAGGCCATGTTTTAATTAAAAAAAAAAAAACACAATCAAGCAAGAAAAGTCAGTTCAAATAATATTAGAAGAGACGTCATCAGTTTACGGAGCCTTGCCCGGGGCAAACAATGGTTTACAAGCGGCACAATCTCTAAAAGTAAGGCCGGGAATTACTTAACGATACAACGCGTTTCTCTGAATTAAAGTCTGAAAATTTCTTAATAAAATTATATTTGAATCAGCAACATCAGCA